GGAGAATAAGCAACATTGGGGTTAATCTCCTTAGTTATATTAAGGAGTCTGAAAGCTTAAGGGTGTTTGCGATGCTTTGAGACGTGAGGACCTCCAGAGGTTCATAAAGAGTCCAAAGAAACAGGTTGCAAATTGGCACAATGTTGGCAAAATTATTCAGATTACATAATGTGAAAGAATGTCACGTGTGCCAGAGCAAGAAATATGACAGCCCCTCGTGGTCCTTAGAGCTTAGTCACCTTTGTCATCATGCATTACTTGTATGGGGTCCTTACCTTGGGTTTGACACTGGGAATGATCTATCTAACACGCACACACACACACACACACACACACACACACACGCACACACACACACACGCACACACACACACACACAGCTCTGGAAAAAATTAAGAGACCACCACACAATTTTTTGTTTCATTCATTCCTCAATTTATGGGTATGTATCTGAGAATTTCATACATATACAGTATGCACAAACTGCAGCCTGGTTCTTCTCTGCTTATGATTTATGAAGGGCCTCCTTGCTTTATGGGACTTCAGTCCTGCTTCTAGGAGCCTGAAACACACTGTCCTAGCAGTGCACTTCACACCTGCACTTAATGTTTCCCAATCCTTTTGACGGTCACTTGATGTCATCCTACGATTCATGAGAGACTGTCGGTCATCTCTGGCATTAGAAAGTTGCTTCCGCCCTCTATCTGGCTGGTTTCTGGTCATTCCCAGTGTCTCCTGCTTCACCTTCTTCTTTTGTACTGCTGTCTTAGAAACTTTAAGCCTGGAAACACCCAATGTAAGCTTCTGCCAGCATTACAAGGATTAAACCAGGATTTTAAAATACAGATTTATTTTAATATAGAGCGGTCTAAGGACAGTAGGGATTGCTAACCTGTGCTAACCTCCTTCGACTATACAAGTAGAGATCTGGAAACACAGCACAAGTGAGCGGTGATCACCAAAATGGATTACTGACATTTTTTAGAGTAGGTGTTATAATCAAATACGCTGAGTTGCCTCATTTAATAAGGATTTCATAATACAGAGATGCAAGGCTATGTATACAGATTATGCTTTTTTTTCATAATCAGGACCTCAGAATAGTAATTGAACGGAAGATAAATGCGAGACAGGAAGTGCCCTTTAAAATAATTGTGAATATGCTGCGACCTAGTGGGTAAACTATGCAAGGACAGGTACCGTGACAGGAACTGTGGAGAACTAAAAAACGTCACTTTCCTTTGGGCCAACTTCAGCTTCAATATTGTAGCTGTTTATTATTTTAATTTTTATGACTGTTTATTAATAATTGCATATTAATGTCAGTTTCTTAAACAAAGGCTTACAGGCTGTGATTATGTAGTCATCTATTTGAAAACAAGCACGGGGCTTGAATCTTCTGAAGGCCATGGATGCTATTTGGCGAAAGCATCGCAGTCTTGGATTTGGAGGCTTTGGAGCCAATTCTTCTCATCAACTGAGTGTGTGCTGGAGGTCCAGGGGTAGGTCCTGCAAAGCTTTGTCCAGGAATGGTACTCTGCTATTTATTGGTACCTATTTAATGGTGGTCATTATTGTCCTGTAGTTTGTCTGGCTTCTCCACACAGACCTGCTCACCAAGATAGAGCTTACACTGATGGCCTTGCATGAATGAATGGCAGAGATGCTCAAAAGTCATTTTTGCAAATCCAAGTCAAAACTCAAGTCTGAGCTAGAGTCCAAGTCAGGTCTCAAGTCTTTGTTCACAAGTCCAAGTCAGGTCTCAAGTCTTTGTTCACAAGTCCAAGTCAGGTCTCAAGTCTATGGTCACAAGTCCAAGTCAGGTTTCAAATCTTTGGTCACAAGTCCAAGTCAGGTTTCAAATCTTTGGTCACAAGTCCAAGTCAGGTCTCAAATCATTGGTCACAAGTCCAAGTCAGGTCTCCAGTCTTTGGTCACAAGTCCAAGCCAGGTCTCAAGTCTTTGGTCACAAGTCCAAGCCAGGTCTCAAGTCTTTGGTCACAAGTCCAAGTCAGGTCATGGTTGTATTAAATGTTCTGTCATCTGCTGCACGCCATCCAGTCTGCTTAGAACACTGCATTACTATATCAAAATAATTCAAAGCATGTGCTGCATTATCACTAATCACCTATGCATTAGCATACAATATCAGCATTGATTAGTTATTTGGTATATGATCATTTTAAACAGGCTATCCTCAAGTACTGGTCTTCCAGTGAGCCGGAAGTTGCTCGTTTCACATTTAGCATGCCATCCATACATTCATCCATTCATCTTTCCGGAACCGTTGGTCCTATTCAGGGTTGTGGGGATCCAGAGCGTATTCAGAGGAGACTCAGCATGCTAAAACTATGTTTTTTTAAGGAAAAAAAAACAATCATTAAAAATCTTAATATTATAAAATATAATACTTAATATCCATTTAAAATCATTTTCCCAATAGAAATAACTAATAATATTCATATAATGTTTCAAAAAGGCTGATAAGGCAAAATGTGCCTTCCTGTTTAGTTACATATACGGTAGTCCCAATATCCTCGGTGACCCAAACAACAGATAACAGCGAACCATTCGCAGACTCCATATGTAACACGACTTTTGTGTACCCTACATACATATAGTGAAGTTTAACTGATGAATTACTCACATAAAGATTACAAATATTAAATACAGTTATAAAGTACATTGTGCATATGATCGCTCTCTCAAATTTAAAGGATTCTTTTTAGCCTAATTCTCAAGAGATGAAGTAATGAAAATCATTCTTTTTATACCCCTCAAAAGACAAAGGAACAATGACAAAACATAGGGTACTGTTACACATTTTACAATTAAATACACTACAGTATATTGCCAGAAGTATTGGGACACCTGCCTTTACACACACAAGAACTTTAATGACATCCCATTCTTAATACTTAGGCTTTAATATGGAGTTGGCCCATCTTTTGCAACTCTTCTGGGAAGGCTGTCCACAAGGTTTAGGTGTGTGTTTATGAGAATTTTTGACCATTCTTCCAGGAGATCATATGTGAGGTCAGGCAATGATGTTGGACGAGTAGGCTTGGCTTGTAGTCTCCGTTCTAATTCATCCCAAAAATGTTCTATCGGGTTGAGGTCAAGACTCTCTGCAGGTCAGTCAACTTCCTCCACACCAGACTCGCTCATCCATGTCCTTATGGACCTTGTTTTGTACGCTGGTGTGCAAATACGTTGGAACAGGAAGCGGCCATCCCCGAACTGTTCCCAAAAATTTGGGAGCAAGAAATTGTCCAAAATGGCTATAAATGCTACAGCATTAAGAGTTCCTTTCACTGGAACTAAGGGGCCAAGCCCAACCCCTGAAAAACAACCCCACACCATAATCCCCCCTCCACCAAACTTTACACTTGGCACAGTGTAGTCAGGCAAGTACCACTGTCCTGGCAACCGCCAAACCCAGACTCGTCCATCAGACAGCCAGACAGAGAAGTGTGATTCGTCACTCAAGAGAACACGTCCCCACTGCTCTAGAGTCCAGTGGCGGTTTGCTTTACACCACTGCATCCAACGCTCTGCATTGCACTTGGTGATTAAAGGTGATGAAAGGCTTGGATTGTAGCTGCTCAGGCATGGAAACCCATTCCATGAGGTTCTCTACGCACTGTTCTTGAGCTAATTTGAAGACCACATGAAGTTTGGAGGTTTGTAGCTATTGACTCTGCAGACAGTTGCCGACTTCTGCACACTGTGCACCTCAGCATGTGTTGTCCCCGCACTTTTTATGTGGCCTATCACTTCGTGGCTGAGTTGCTGATGTTCCCAATTGCTTCCACTTTGTTATAATACCACTAACAGTTGACCGTGGAATATTTAGTAGCGAGGAAATTTCAGCAAACAATGCGGGTTCGTTTAATCAACTCATCACAATCTCTTAGGAAAGTCTGAATGCATTTTATGTAACTGAAAATTAACACATAAGTTGTACGCTATGTGCTCTAAATAAAATCTGTATTAAAAGAGGTAGACATACGTATATTGAAATGTAACCCGGGTAAATCACACACGGTTTCGTTACCGCCTGATTTTGCTTTTCACACCTTGAAGCACAAGTTGTCATAGCTCTATAATCATCAAGTATACATTTACAATTAAACAAATAAAAATTGCAATGTCCGACTGTGCTGAAAAAATATAAAACGGCTGGATACATAATTGCCCATGAAACTAAATATCATTTGTATTGAAACTGTGCGGGGCTTTTCATTCAACAATTTCGATGGTCCCGGAAGTGGTTTTAAGCCGTGAGTCAAAAATTCCAAATACACAATATATATGCAACTTTACTCTGAATATCTTGTGTAGCCAGCCGCTATTATTTCGCACAATAACCCGCACCTTCCCCAAAATCCAGCAAAGCAGCCATTTCATGCTGTCCATGCCATTATGTTCTAACACTTTATATTGATTTGTCAGAATGATGACTTGTATGTATGACGGTACACTGCTTTATTTTTGGCTCATTCACAACGATTAGCTACTACAGTTGTTTTTGAAACTGCAATTAGATTTTTTTCCCAACTGAATTCACACGTGCCAGTAAAGAAGAGCAAAATATAGGTAACCGATCAGCTTAGACTAAAGGCATCTTAGACAACTATCTTTCTGGAAAATCCAGCCGACAGTACACATAACACTGCCATATCTGAGCTGCAAGGACAAGGCCAGCAAAGACAAACGTGCTTCGAAATATCACCGCTTTCCAGTCAGTATTTTCACACCCACTAGCAGCCCATCCACAGGGCGCTTCCATTTGCTCTCAGGCTCAGGATTCGCGGCCGATTCTGTAGAGATGTAGGATTTTTTAAAGTTTTAGTAGTATTTAACGTAGTTTAAAATAGCATTATATTTCTTATAATTCTAGTTAAAGTATGCAGCATTATTTTACTTCATACAATAATTATATTTATGTTACGCCCACCTATTTTCAGACAGAATGGAAAAGTCCGTGACGTAAATCCTTTCTCAGAGAATCCTGGGAAATCACAATGGCCGCTCTCTCGGGGGTACCGTGGATTCGCCCTTTGCGGCGGTTATTGTCGCATTTGAATGGGTCCGGTAGGCAAGCTGGTGGCTGTCGGAGGGTTTCGGTGAATATCCCAAGCTGCGGGGCACAGCAGCTCAGGAAGCTGTCCGGAGGACCGGGCGGTGAGGCCGGGGTCGCCAGTCCGTGGCGCTTGTTTGGGGCGTTGTGTCTGCAGAGGTTACCGGTTATAGCGCAGAAGCCGAGTGCAATTGAGGAACAGTTCGCGCAGCTCACACGTCAGGTAAGCCTCGTTACCAGGGCCGCTTGGCAGCGCGCAGTTGTGTTTAATATTAAGCATTTACTGAGTTATTTTGGGCAATGTCCGAGCCAGCTACCCAGAATCTGCCCACCCTTCTGGCACTGCTAAGCAGGCACCCCGGGGTGCACACGGTTGCTCAGGACTGACGGGATGATTTGGCATTTCAGATGGACCTGGAGAATAGTCTGTTTTCGGACCATGAGCTGAGGTTGCAGGAAGAGGCTGAACGCATGAGACGTAAGAAGGATGACTATGATTCGGATGAAGAAGACTCTGCCGGGCAGGACATTATCACTGCCGAAGACCTCGAGGATTCTTGGGAGCAGAGATTCAAGAAGGTCCAGCCTTCTCTGGTGTTTAAAGGTTGGTGTCCTAATGCACTCTGCCCATCCTGGTCATGGGTTTGGTTTGATAATTGATCTCTGGGATATTTACATGCCACACATCCAGGTAAGTTAGGCTCTGATGGTGAAGATCGGGTGTCTTTCCAGAGACAAGTGAGCTGAATCTGGGCTCTGCAGACCGGTGCCTTGCGGACAGCTTGCTCCTATTGGCCAGGCAGCGTGTGGTTGACCAGGACTTGTGGCTCCTGCCTCAGATGCAGTGGCAGGCTGGGGAGACGCTGCGGCACACGGCAGAGAGGGCGCTCGCATCCCTGCCAGGTATAGCATCCCTCCCTTGGGGGGGGGGCTTTGGGGGCTTTCTCTGAATACCACTGAAACAGACCTTAGTTTGCCCTTGTGCACATTATGAACAAGAGAGTGTTTGCCAGTTAATTATATTTACCATTTAATATCCATGGCATTTCACGCCAAAACTGCCTTGCAGTTATTAAAGTGAATAGTCAGTAATTGCAAATGAAGGAGTATGTTAATATGCTCACCAAGCGTGTCAGCCATTATCCACGCCGGTTAGTCGCCAGGATATTGGATAAAACCATCTTACTGCACAGCATAAATGGTGTGAAGTATAGTCTTTTTCTCATCAAAGTGTTCATGCCTGGGATTATTAATTGCAGGTTCTGGCTTTAAGGCGACCTTCCTGGGTAATGTACCGTGTGGAGTTTACAAGTACAAATTCCCAGAGAATGTGCGGACCGAGAGCTGTGTTGGCGCCAAGGTCTTCTTCTTCAAAGCTCTGCTGTCGACACACAGTGATTCGCCACCTCAGGACAGCCTCATGTGGTTGAGAAAGGATGAACTGCAGAGCTACCTTAGACCTGCCTACCTGGAGAAGGTGAATCGCTTTGTGTTGAACTTCTGATGCTCCGGAGATGGACAGGAAACCTCGAGAGGATTTTCAAAGTCATGCGTGTTTGTTCCTGCTGACACCATTAATCTCAACATTTCAATAGAATTATAATGTGTCCATCTTCATGTGGCTACATATTTAGCCAAATATAATTAAATGTTTTTTTTTATTATTTAAGGTGTGTTCGAGTCAAATAATTGTGTGTTAACTGGCCATGTGTTGCTATGGTACCTTGTATATTAGGGGATGTATTTTTCTATGAGGCTGGGTGGGGGTGGAACACAGGCCTCATCTTCCCTGGCTGTCTGCCTTGTAATCCAATGAGAGCTGAGTGAATGTCCTTTCCAGGAAGTAGCCAGTGTGCTGCTGGTATTCATGCTATTTATTCACAGAGATTGTCAAATATTCGCAATGCAGTTGGGTGATTCCTAAAAGTGATAAAAAAAAAAAAAGGGCAATACTGCTTGCTTTATTCCCAATGGCCCTCGGAAGACCTATTTATCAGGGAGCTCACTCCCAGAGGGTGCCATTTTTATCTATTAAAGTGAGAGAAAACTGAGTAGTCCCCTGGAATTAAAGCCATATAATCATATGTAATAGGCCAGGAACAGAGATTTCCAGGTATGTCTGATGAAAGCACCATCTCAGCTTCTGTCATAGTCATAGTCTGTGGTCCTTAGAAAAATGCTTGACGCTGTTTCTGCGGCGTGTCGCACCAGTTTTAAATACAGGCCTCAGCCCCCGTCGCTCTGTTGTGTAATGAGGTTCTATTAATATTTCTCAGATGTCTCTCATTTTATTCCAAGATCCACGGCTCAAGTGTTCAGGCCGTAGGTGTGGAATAATTTCATTAGAGCCTCCTTTCGACACCTTCTGTAGCTCGCTGGTCTGGTGTATCCGTTACCTTAATAAGGAACAGGACCTTCCATTAGAAGGGAAGAAAGACTATGTTTAGTTGCTTGGTCTATACAGAAAGCAAACTCTCCACAGCAACTCTTTAGTCTTTGATATTTTAGAGGTATATTCTTCAAAGTTGGAGTAAATTAAAAGATCTGTTTTGTCTTAAATAATGCAGGTAACTTATTTTCAGCCCAGCCAAACCATTCATGTTAAAAGACCGATCTGTCTCCTTAGAAACACCTAAACAACATCTTTATTTTCAACTTCAGGCGTTAGTCATCTGCTTTTATTTTCTCTATCATTTCTGCCCCTTGTCTTTGCTAAGATGCTCCCCTTGTTACGCTCATCAAAGTGCATACTAATGCCGAAGTCCATTTAGTTCTATACAAAGCCATATTACGTATCTAAAAGTAAACTTTCTTTGCCACAAGACTTACATAAAATTTGATTTTAAAATTTAAAAATACCCTTTTTAACATGCACTGTGCGGAGGCGTTAAACTGAGATACCGTTTTTATATTCCTTGGTGCGCCTCAATCTGTCTCAGGCTTTGCATATTTTTTTTACCCTTTTGTGCATTGCACACTTCACCACTAGGGGGCAGTAGTCAGACAGCCTTAGGGGCCATTAAATAAAACCTTTATATATCGCTCAGGGACAAACTGGGCCACAAGCTGCAGTGGTGGGGGAGTGCCCTTCAGATCGCACTTGTGTTTGCATCAGTGAGTTCACTAGACCTGGAAACAGCCACCTTAAGCTGGGTGTCACTGACTATGTGACTGTTAGGGTGTTATTTGGTGATTAAAGCCTATTTCCTGGTCTCTTACTTAAATATCTTCCCCAATTGATCAAATCATTATTTGCAGTGAGGTGTAAGTCAGGTGATTCAGCATGTACTAATTAACAAGTCCACCTTCTCGCTGGGCTTTGGTCATACGAGGCTGAGTCCAACACCTCGAATAACCAGCGTCTGTTACGGTTGGGATACTTGGATGTCAGCTGGCTTCTCTTTTGTGGGGTGGTAGCAGTTATGTAAATGAGCCCTCAAATGAGGATCACTGCCGCTTCCCCAGCGACATGCAAATCATGAAGGTCCTGGAGGCTGTGGAGATCTTAAGCTGTGCTGGGCACGGCGAGCTCAGCCGGTTCCACTTTCATGGACGCGGATGATCCCAGTGGCTAAAGCACCGAATGCAATGAGGCACCGGAGGCGTTTTGGCTACCAGTGGTGTGACCGCCATCACACAGCACTGGCCCTGTCGATGGTCGTAATGGCTGGATGTCACACTCAGCAAAGAGGTCCATGTTAGCTTAGCATTAATCAGGAGTTTAGCATCGCAAATGGGAGTAGAAGCTCCTCTCCTGCTTTTTTCTGAAATGCTCACATATTCCAGCATGTTTCCTCTTGGGTGGCTCAGTGGGCAGCATGGTTACCTCATGCCTCTTGGGTTGTTCTGTATGTGTAGAGCTTTGTTTCCCAACCGGGTCCTTGCGGACCCCCAGATGGGCCATTTTTTTGCTCCCTCCTAGCCATCTAGACCGTGCACAGTGGTCTGGGGGTCCGCAAGGACCCGGTTGGGAAACACTGGAGGAGATGTTCTTCCTGTTTGGTGCAGCTGGAGTCTTGAGATTGGTGTCCATAATGCATGAGCAGGTGTATGACTTTGCATCCTGCCTGGGGGGTCCCTGGCTATGAGCCCTAGGCGGCCTGGGATCGGTTCCATGCCCCCCCCGGTGACCATACCCCAGATAAGTGTGAGCTCCTTTTGGTGATTTGTTTTGTCGTCACATCTCTATGGGTTGGAACAGAGATCAGGGGTCTGTTTCACAAAGCAGGATTTCTTGTCAGATTTAAGATACCTCATTTTAAATGGACTTTTAAATGGAAATCCACTTTCATTTATCCCAGACTACCTTAAATCCAACAAGTTATCTGGCTAAGCAGGAAATCCGGCTTCACGACACAGAGTCCAGGTTTAGGGTAACGTCTGTTTTTGGGGGGGACCACTGTCCACTTTCATGTAGGTCTGCAGCTTCATATCTATGAGGAACTTTCCGATTTCTGTTTTTCACTCAGTTCTGGCTCCAGTGAAAGATGGAGCCCGTCCTCTCGACACCATATATTAAAAATGAGGGTGTGCACGAGGGAGGTGGTCTGTTGGACCTGGCGAGGGGTGTCTGTCGAGCTCAGGCGACCCACAGCCACGTGGTCTCAGGAAGTTAGGGTGGGGCGGGGCTTGTGGAGATGGTCTGTCTGGGAAAAGAATGGAAGCTGCATGATTTCTGAAGGTTAATGCCGCCAGATAGGAGTCAACACAGAGCTCTGCAATGAGGCCACGATCTGAGGTGCACACAATGCGTGATTAACAAACAGCACGGGTCGGCGTTAGTCTGTTAAACACACAGAAGACTGCCTGCCAACATGGAGGAAGACCTTCAAAGTTACGGGGCTGTTTAGCTTCGGTCTCCAGTGATGTGCAAACTGGTATCAACTGGAAATATGAGAATATGTGATTCCAACCTTGGATGTGTTACCTTTTAGAAAGTTAATTAATTAAAAATGTGTAATAAAGAAAATTCAGTCAGAAGTCATGTAAAACTGGAAGAGTGGAAAACAGAAAATGCCTTGCTGGGAAGCTGCTTGTGTGTGTCTGTCTCTCTCTCTCTCTCTCTCTCTCTCTCTCACACACACACATACACACACACACACACACATACTTCTTCATTTTACTTTCATGTTAAAGGAAAAAAACGACCCATCCTCACTCCTGGGTCCTGCATCAAATAAATATCTGGATGAATTTTAAACTTGAGTTTTGGCCATTTTGTCATTGCTTTATATGGATAGAATCCACTGCTGTAAAGAATTCAGGTTCAGGCTGTTATGCACCACAAAGTTTAGGTGTGTGTCTGGATGGTGTTGGGAGAGAGCGGCAATGCTGAACTTTGCGTCTATCAGTGTCATTAGTCTGGCTTATTGCAGAAACAATGATATTAAAAAGTAATTAAAATGATTGTCTTTTACTACTGCTGCTCTGATAAAATGCTGTTTAGCAATAGGCCTTCGTGTTATCTGTCTATTAATATGCAAATGGTGCGATGTGACGTGATTAGCATGTAGCTGTAGCTCGTGAGGGTTCTCATTTGCGTAAATGGTGCCAAACACTGTCTAGAAGTATCTGGAGACAGCTCAATGTGTCTTGTGTGATTCACGTAAGATACATTGAGCCATCCACGAATGTGTCTTATAATCTGAACATGCAGTACCCAATGCTGCCAGACAGGATGGACTAGCTCCATCATCCTTGTGTCTAGTTCCTTCCCAGGGGTCCTCATGTCGCTGTGGGAGGTCTTCCTCGCTTCCGACACCTCAGGCTTACTCTCTGGGTCCAGGCCTCTCCAAAGTGCTTTGTAACAATGATCCTTAAGTGCACTTTATAAATAAAATTGAATCGATTCTTATTACCATACTTTAATATTGAAGAGGTCAATATATTTCTGCTTCTAATTTGGTCAGCGGACTTGGAACCTCTTAAGTGTGTAATTGCGTTTCCTCCTTACCAGACTTACTGACCCGAAGATTTAATTCATGGGCCTCAAGATAAGTTTTCTCTTCCAAAGCCTGTTTTTTTTCGGCTTTGTTGTTTGAGATACAATGGCTTTGGTGGCCATCTTTTCTTGGAGTGTCCGGTGGTTTGCTGGAGCACCACAGAGAAGGTCTTGCAATGGGTCGGGTCATTCACTGATGCCAGATTGAAAACCATATTTTTAGTCTCTAAAAATGAAAATGAAGACGGTAGGCCCGTGTAGGGCTTTGGCACACTACACCACAGTGTAAAGGATGTGCAACAGGGACACCTAGGTCTTAGTAATTGACAATATTAACCCTAGAGGCTTACCAATGTTCATACAGTTTTGAGCACAGTTCACTATTAATAGTCCTTTGAGTCCCACTTGTGTTCAGCTAGTAAATCAGAACAAAAATATCATTTTTGAGTGGGTGGGGAGGCCCATGCTAATCTTCGCTGGCCTTGCAGAATCGTTCACAGTATCACTCCACGCTGAATATGGACCCCCGATCTCTCGGTAGGTGGCAGTGTTCGGACCTTCGGAGGAGAACGCAATCCCAAAGCAGGTTCCCACTCTGGAGAACATCATGCCGGTGTGATGATGTCAGCAGCTGATGAGCTCCCTGAATGTGACAGGCGGGTTACCAAGGGAACGACACATAATTGCACACGGTTACCTCACAGCACTTAAGATGGGGAGAGATTGAT